GTTTGTGGCTTATTACCTCTCTTTTACTCGTTTTCAAAAAGCTATAAATACCTTGTACTTCTCTTCTTTCAAACAAGACGAACACTTTAGTTCTGAACACACACTTACACTCAAAAAACTCTCTCTTGCTTTACTGCTACTTGTGCTACTGCCTGTTTAGCCGGCTGAAAGCCAAGGCTAGGCTTCGAAGTCCTGCTTACTTTTCTTTACTGCACTTTGCTTCTCTGACTGGTATGTTCTAACTAAGTTTTCAGCATCAACAACAACATGTTTCTTTACTGTTTCTGTCATTCTTGTTTGTCTCCTGTTTATATTTAACTAATTTCCATTATTAAGCATGCTGCATTCTGCCTTTTCTATTCTGAATTAATGGTTTGTTACTTACTTATCATAGCTTGTGCACCTTAAATCCCCACCCCCAATATGTTTGATAACTGTGGGGCATGGCAACATTAATTATTGTTGTCCATGGCCCAAACTTGATCCTCCTGGGATCATAACCCCCATGTTTCCTCTGTTTGTTGTGTATTCTGGTTGGCTCATAGGCATGCCAGCATCTTCTATTGTTGTGCATGCCCAAAGCTGGCCTTTGCTTCAAGTACACAGGCTCTTTGCAATGAATCTCCAACCCCCTGACCCCCTTGTATGAAGTCATCAACTCTGAATTTTTTTTTACTAAGTACTATTTCCCAATCACCCTTATCCCTCTCTATTTTTCATTGAGTTTTAAATCTCTCTTCCTGCACTTTCACTCTACTCTTAGATTTAAGTTATGCCGCTCTTGTGTGAGCCTTGCCTTGGGACCCATGAGTTTCCTCTGAAGTTGGACACATAAGGGCTAGCCTTCCACACTGCACTCATCTCTATTCTGATTAGTGCAACTTGGGTGTGAGCATTGCCCGGGGTCCTTTTGAGAGCCTTAGGGAACTTTGACACACTCAAGTCTGAAAAAGGCTTTGAAGCAATGGCATCTTAAGGCAGTTTATTCCATAGCTCAGGGAGGAACCAAGAATCAGGCTTCCTCTGGTTGTATTTTTTATGTATTTTTCTGATGTAATTCAGTACTTCTGTCTTGTAATAATTTGTATTAAACAACGGGGATGGCTAGTGAAAAGGGGGGGGGGGGGTAATTATGCATGTCAGGGGTAGAAAATATGCCTATAGGACTATTTCAAATCCTGCATATTCAAACTGCATTTAGAAACCATGCCTATAGGGTGTTTTGATTCTGCATATCCAAACTCCATTTAGAAAATATGCCTATATGACTGTTTTAAATCCTGCATATTCAAACTGCATTTAGAAACCATGCCTATAGGGTATTTTAAATTCTGCATGTTCAACTTTACGCCTAGATAACCTGCCTATAGGACTCCACTTTAAGTTCTGCACGCTTGTTACCACTTAGACATCATGCTCTAGGATTTAAACGGCTATAAATTAGTACAATGTCCCAGAATTAAAGACAGTACATTAGTTATCATGTTCATAAGGTTAAAACCAACAATAATGGATCCTGTCACCTGCAACTAGTCTAATTTAAATCATCCTATTCTGAACCAGTGCTTAAATAACTTAATTTCTCCGTGTTAACACGATTTAGCAAGCATGCCTATAGGATTTCAACTATTCGTTTTAAGCTGTGAATACACTCAAAATCAGCAATAGATACCATGTTTCTAAGGTCTCACTTAAACACTTAGGCAAGCCTTAGGCAATAATATAAATAAAATTGAACTCGCCTCCGTTATTTGTTACAACCAGCATGCAGGCCTGATTCGTGTTTCCTAACTGAGTCATGTAATAGGCCAAGCTTGCTGCAACAACAATCTCCTCTTCCCTCAAGTATTTTTAGAATCAGACCTTACTCATTTGTTTAAGTCATGTTATTGGATTGTTTTGTTTGAGGAGGTATACTTGAGCCTTATGTGTTTATGTGATTCCCCTTAAATGTGCAGTCTTCTCTATGTTTTGTATGTCGCCCTAGATTTTTCACCTTTGAAACCTCAAGTCAGCCTAATATCCTTCCCTTTTAGGATTAGTAGTCCTAAGTGCCTCCGGGACTGATAGGAATGAGGCGGGTAATAGCATGCAATAGTGGTCGAGACCAATCCGCGCTTTTGTACCTTAAACGGGGTGGGAAAGGGTAGATATGGATATGATGACCGGTGCGCTAATACCACGTGTAGCCCCTCTTCTGAGGAGTGATTACCAGGTATTGCATTGGTGTGATCCATATTTTTAATAAACCTAGGACCCCCTTTCTTTTATTTCCCTTTTCCTTTAAAAGCATTGCAACTCTTTGTTTAAAATCAGCCTTAATTGCTCTTTCAAACGATTGTTTATTAAAATCCCCTCTTATTTGAGCTTTATCTGTATATATGTTAATTGAACCAAATTCACAAAGAACTATCTGGCCGGGAACCACACTAGTGGATCTTGAGGGGTGCCTAACACCTTCCCCTTAGGATAATTTCAAGCCCTTACCCTATCTCTGGTTATCAAATGAACTTAGAAATGAACCTTGAAGGTGTCCTAATGCACCATAAATCATTAGGTGGCGACTCTTCAAATGCTAAACCCAGTTCCCAAAAGGAACGAGTTGTCTTATACCAAATGTCATAAACCCGATTTCGCGAGAAAAAGGTGGCGCGACAGTTGTCACCTGTAGAAGCGGCAGAAAACCACATACGTCACTCTGGGTGCCCATGCTAGCCCGACACATACTCCTGTACAAGTAAGCGAGAACAGCAGCACTCCAACTATACTAGGGTAACTCATCTAGCTGCTGAAGATGATGTAGAAATCACATACTCACTAGATTTCCCGAAGTGTTCGGGAAAAAGACATCCCCAAAAAGAAGGAGCAAGGCCAACCTCGTGTACCGGTGAATATGTATATCATCTGTCTCACCGGTGATGTCGGGGTGCAATACCTCCAAATGCTGTCTAATAGTTGTCACAGAAATGCGACTGCCCCCTGAAGCTGCAGCCTCACCCTGTGGCCTGAAACCAATGAAATGCTGCAGCAAGTCCAAATACTGGGCACGCGACATAGATCTCATATACTGAGGCAGTGCAACGGCAAGTCCATCAGCAGGCAGCCCATATAAAACCTGAATATCCTGAAGCGTGATGGTGGCCTCACCAATGGGCAGGTGGAAAGTGTGCGTCTCCGATCGCCACCGCTCTATCAACGTCGTGATCGGAGACCAGTCGAGCTGCAGCCGCCCAATCTCAAAAATCCTATAGAAGCCCGTATCCCTCAGGCGCTGGACTACGCAGGGATGGAAAATCCTGTCCTTCATAAAGTCCCACAAGTCGTCCACTCTCCTGGCGCGGAGAGTCTGGTCCAATAGATGTCCCTCCCATACGTAGGCGGACCTATGATCGCCCTGTAACACTAATATCTCATCCGAGAAAGGTCCAGGATGCACAGGCGACACGTCCATGTCATCTATTGTAAATTAAACAATATTAATTGTGTGTTTGTGTTATAATAATTAATAATTAAAAATAATTATTTAATTGGACAGAGCATATATCTATGGGTTCCAGGATCGATATTTGAGGCCCAGCTGCACCAAGCTACCCTGAATTCTTATGTGTGTCAATTTCAATATATTTAAAATTTTGTTAGTTTTATAAATTAAATAATTAATTTTTAATTGGACAGAGTATATATCTATGGGATCCAGGCTCGATATTTGAGGTCCAGTAGCTCCAAGCTATCCTGAATTCTTGTGTGTGTCAATTTCAATATTTTTAGAATTTTGTTTGTGTTATAGTAACTAATATATAATTATTTAATTGGATAGAGTATATATCTATGAGTTCCAAACTCGATATTTGAGGCCCAGTAGCACCAAGCTATCCTGAATTCTTACGTGTGTCAATTTTAATATTTTTAGAATTTTGTTTGTGTTATAATAATTAATATTTAATTATTTAATTGGACAAAGTATATATCTATGAATTCCACGCTTGATATTTAATTGGACAGCATATATTAATTTGTTAGTTCTGTGTGTTTGTTTTATAAATTAAATAATTATTTTTTGTAAAGTGTAATTTGACAGAGTTTGTAGTTAGTAGATACTTAAACTACAGAGATTCTACGCTAAAAGGCTCTATATTTTACTACGCTAAAATACTATATATTTTACTACGCTAAAAGGCTCTATATTTTACTACGCTATAAGGCTCTATATTTTACTACGCTATAAGGCCACTAGTCTTTAAAGTAATAAATAATCTAAACTAAATAAAAACAACAAATATATTTTAATAACATAACATTCACGAAATTACATATAAAACAGTAAAAGAAATTTATGAACATTTTTGTTAACAAGAAAAATTATTTCTCAACTTTTAACTATTTTTTTAAACACTAATAATTTAATCCAGATAAAAATAACGTACTAATTTAATCGCAAACAAAACACAAAACAACGTGGAAACACATTCAAGACAACTAATATGCATTATTATACGAGTTTTGACATAAACTAAATCGGAATACCTCGATTTATGTTAGATCGGAAGAGCATTTTTAGAAAAGTACGGTTTGAGCCCGAAACGAGGAAACCACAACAATAGAAGGCTTGTTGTATGCGGGACCGTACAATCTTAACTTTTTGTTGTGACGGGTGGGGTCCGACTCGAATTTTTTTGAGAAAACGAGAGGGGGGGGGGGGACCGCTGTTTGTTGGATTTAAAAATGGAGGTGTGTTCTGGTTTCTGTCGTGGGGAAGAAGGGGGACTTTTATTTTAATAGGTAAACCCCGGTATAATACCGCACTATATATGAAACGCGATATTACACTGCGCTTTACTTTAACGGCTAAAATTCTGTTAAAGTAAATGCGGTATAATACCGCCTTTTGTATAGAAAAAATACTTTTTTTTTACATTGTAAAACCGTATTTTGAGTCCAAAAAATTAGCATTTAGATTTCGGACTCGCCTTTCCTCATCTAGTAATATTAATAAACATTCAAGTGGTTTTTTAAATAGATAACGTAAGGGTGGGCGGGTATGTGATCAATCATCAGTGATCGGAACAGCACCGCCGCGTCTTTCACTTTTTTGGTCAGACAAAACCCCTCCCATAAAGTTTTGATTGGATATATATCAATTAAAATCAGAAATTTTATCCACTTGCCTAGGTTTTTGCATTATCCCCCTTTTTTCCCTGCTAAGATATTTTTATTTCGCTCCTCTTAATCTTCTTCTTTTTTATTTTGCCAAAAAAGAAAAAAGACAGAAACTTAGCAGCAACATGATGAGAAGGCAACAAGATCAACAATCTAAGCTTCTGTACGATCTTTCCACTATGGTTCTTAACATTCTCCGATCTCCAACGACGGTGCCGTTCGACTTTTCCGACCAGTTTACGGCGCCGGCGAGGCCACCGGTGCAGCAGATTACTCCGGCGGGTTTTGCATCCCTGCTGCTGGGTATTTCTATGGCTTTGATGATCTGTGGATCTGTAACATTCTTTATTGGGTTTTTCATGTTGCCATGGATTCTTGGGTTGGTGATGGTTTTGTATCTTGCTGGGATTGTTTCTACTTTGTCAATGATTGGACGTGCCATTTTCTGCCCTATGCCGCCTTCCTCTCAACCGCCAAGAAAAGATGTTCAACGTAAGGATTGTTGAACCTTTTTTCCTTTTATAGTTAATAATGTTTTAAGCATTCTTAAGATGTTTGTTTAGCTGTTCAACTTGGAGATCGACTCCCTTAATTCTTGCTCTTATTTCTTTTGTACGTCTCCCGCTTGTTTGATTGTTACGAGCTTTCTTTTGATCTATTTTCAATGTTTCATATCTTTGCTAGATTTCATTGTGGTGTTGTGACTAGTTCTAAAATACCGACTTTAAATTACGGGCGAGTCCCGGATTTTTGAATATTACGGCTTTGAGTTTGGAATTCTACCGCAACCTTTTTGATTTAACACATATACCAGATTTGAGCCAAAAGTTAGTTGGTTCACATGAACCCGTAACTAAAGCACCTCTAATTTAAGTTAGTAAGTTACATTAAACTATTGCAACTGTAGTTGTTTAATGATTTATCAAGTTATTTAGATTATTTTCTAGATATCAGTTCATACAACTTTACAAGGGCAGCCCGGTGCACTAAGCTCCGCTATGCGCGGGGTTTCGGGGAAGGGCCGGACCACAAGGGTTTATAGTATGCAGCCTTACCCTGCATTTGTGCAAGAGGCTGTTTCCACGGCTAGAACCCGTGACCTCCTGGTCACATGGCAATGGCAGCAACTTTGCACTGTTTAGTTATTTAATTTTGAAGTTTGATGATTATATACTCATTTGCACCAACTAATTGAATCAAATGACAACTATATGACTAATAGTAATTATTTCTTGAGTGAATGAAAACTGGAAGGTGAAGTAACTCATGTGACATGTTTTCTGGTTGCACTGATTTTCGTTTTGTTAAGAACTCATATTTTGGATATAACAGAGTTGAGTTTCCCTCATCTGTTCTCTTTATACTTGACATTTATGAATATGATTTCATTCTCTCTAAGGTGCCCTACTTTACTGCCTGCTTCATATCTTATGCAAATTGGTTTAATATCTCAAAAACCATATTTTAGACATAGGTGCCCTCATCTGCTAATTTCCTTACTTTCCAAAATTTAAAAAGGTATTGGGATTTTTCTAGATAGTTGCCTATTATTTTCTTTGGGCTTTCCAATATTTTAGAGACTGGTTGGCCTATCTTCTTAGCATATAAGATTACCTGGTTTGATGTTTTTTTGGTCAACTTGGCCTCCATGTTTCTTACTCCCTCCGTTTCAATTTAGATGAGGTAGTTTGACTCGTAACGAAGTTAAAAAAAAAAAAAAAGACTTTTGAAACTTGTGGTCTTAAAAGTTTAAGGGGTAAAAGTTTTGTGGTGTCATGACAATTGTGCGGTTATAAAAGCATCCCATTAAGGGTAAAATGGGAGTTTAAAGTTGAATATTTTCAATTGTAGAAATGTGTCATTCTTTTTGGAACGGACTAATAAGGAAAGTGTGTCATCTAATTTGAAACCGAGGTAGTAATTATTTCAGTAGCAGAGTGAGTTGAAAGTATGATGCAAATAGTCACAAGAAGATCAACTGACAAGAGTAGGAAGAGTGTTTTTCACTTTGCTATAGTTTGATATATTAGGAAAAACAAATGAATGGTATATTGCTACACCCAAAATGTAACAGAATTTTGCCCTTTGAGAATGAATCATTGTTTATAATGTATTTAAGGTAAATAATAAGTTATTTATCATCATAGAGTTGTAGTTTATTTTGCATCATAGCTTTCTTTGTGAATTCTTAAAGTAGGGGGAGGTTTTACAAACACTTACTTGGCACGTTTAGTCTCCAATTCTCAGCATGTGCATTCGACCTACATTAAGTTCAATCAGCTTCTGAAATCGTGCTATGATTGGATATAGATATTAGTACAACTTATCTATTTGGTTAAGATTGAAAATTTTCTGTTTAAGTTTGTGAGGGGACCGTTACAACTCAGTCTTCGGTTGTTTGAGGAAATAGTATGACAGAGAAATCACCTATGTTTGCTTCACCAAATTCATTCAATCTAGCTGTATTAGACTGCTCTTTTCCTTTTTCGAAATAGGGTAGAAACTCAGGAGTCGTACTTCCCATTTGTTTTGTTCCCTCGACAAGTAGTTGTTGCTTCTCAAGAATGATTTATGTAGGAGGTTGAGATACAATGCGGTGCATGATGTATTGTCCAGTTCTATATGATATCTCATGTTTCATATCTCTGTCTACTCGTCTATGTATATTCTCTATGCTTCCCCAGAATGATTCATGTGTGATATTGAGATGCTGATGTGGTGCAAGATGTATTCTCCAGTTCTATTTGATTTTCCATGTTTCATATTTGTGTCGACTCATTTGTTTATATCCTCTGTTGCAGCCTGTAAAATATTGTGAAGCAATTTAAACGTTTGTATTGGACACCACAAGGGTGAGGAGTATGGTGTAGCTGCCTGCAAATGTTTAAAAAGAGGATGCAGGAGTGGTATACTATATGCTGCTCCTTATTGCAGCCAGCGGGAGAGGACAGTTTAGGTATTTAAAAGTGAAAATATTTTATTAGCTATTTCTTATAGGAAAGATCAAAATGGTTGTGCCTCGTTATTATTATTATTTTTTTAAATTCTCAGTGCACTATGTTGTGTCTCTGCTGACATTCAAGATGTAGAAACATTTGCTGTGAGATTGCTGGAAATGAAGTACAATCAAAGCTTAATTAGTAGTATTTTAGCTCCTGATATATGATCATGTCATTTGGAAAAATATAAAGGAAAATCTCCCTGTTCAAAAACGAAAAAAAGAAGGTTGTTTCTGTTCAATTGTAAGCTGTGAATTTGAGAACTGACAGGCTTCTTTTGCTTTAATTTTTTTTTTTTTTTTTTGGCAAAAGCAATATGTAACTATGGTGTGTGCTCAGGTTGACATTTTCTGAGCAAAGGGATTTTCCAAATGTACGTAACCATCAGATGCATAAACCAAATGTAGGTGCTTATTCTTTTGTGTAATGTAATTTTTGTTTTTCTATTATATACCCCTCCTAGTCAAATTAAACAGCTACTTAACTATTCATTAAGATCTCCATTAAAAGCTTAGGTATGAATAATCATTCACGTGCATGCATTTGTTTGGCAAAGAATGGATGTTAAGAATGGATCTTAAATATGAATAATTAAGGGCACATGACTCCATCCGGAAAAGCACGGCCAAAACTTGTTCTTTCTTCTCCAAAGGCATCATCTAGAATATTGGAACCGGGACCAAAATACGAATTTGGAATAATAGATGGGTCATTGACAATCACTCATTAAGGGAACTAATTAAGGGTCCACTTGGCAAGGAAGATACAAATAAAAATGTAGCTTGCCTCATTAATAATAAAAATTGGAGCCTACAAGCCCTATCATACGACCTACCAAATATGCTTTCCGACATCGTAACACAAACATACATTCCGTTCTCTGAGAATTTAAATGATTGAAGATGAGAACTTCACAACAAAATCAGCCTACAATCTTTTCATTACGGTAACAAAGGCACCTCAAACTCATGAAACCATCAACCACTTATGGATATAGAAAGCACATTGCCACAACAAATTCAAAATCTTCCTATGGTTACTAACACCAAAGACTGCCTACTGCAGCTATCCTAAGCCAAATAATTAAATACAACTCTTGCAAATATTGTGGAACAGAGGAAAACATAAACCACATATTCTTTCACTGTCCTATTGTTGATACCCAATTTTATTATATTTTTAAATATGCAAAAATACCTTCGAAATAGCATATATAAGCATGCCCAAGGTTTTTATTATTTTTCCATAATTTTAAAGGTTTAAATTGATTTATTTTCTCCCTTTTTATCCATAAAATCCCCAATAATTATTTCCAAAATTATTATTTTGATAATTCATCTATTGGATTTCTATATTTATGCCAAAATATGGCTAAGGTAATTTTTATATTTCTTTTGCAATTACATTTAGTATTTTTAAAGCTAAATTGCACATAATTGGAATGTTAGCCCTTTTAAGATATAATTATGTTTTATATGCATAAATCCTGTATTTTAGATTGCTAGTTATGTATCCTAAATCATTCTAGCATTCTAAATTATTTTTTTTCCAGAAATTATCTACTATTTTTTATAAATTAAATAGGGAAAAACTGGCTATTTAAATTATAGCCAAATTGGCTTTCAATTATAGCCAAATCAGGACCCCAATTCCCAGCCCAATTTTACAATTAAAACCTGACCCACACCCTATTAACCCATACCCAAACCCGGAACCCAACCTACCCTTTTTAATCTCCCAGATCAACGGTCCATGTTATTTCTTTCCTTTTTTAATCCAACGACCCCCCAAATCCTACCCCATTCTCTCATTTGCACCGCCCTTGAATCCTTTCCTCTCCAAATTCTCCCTAAGACCTAACTCAAAACCTAATCGCCGTCACCGGCGTGAACCCCTCCTACGATGTTTCTACGTCTTCTCCGACCGGGCCTGGTCTTCCACACGCCATGGCTCTTCGATTTCTTGGATCCTTGAGATCTTCTCAAGGGAACCCTAACTGGTTCCGGTTTGGAACTTTGTTTATCAGCCTGTCTCAGGCCATTTTCCGTTTGTGAGTAAGAACTTCTTCTTGTTTTATTACGGATCTATGGGTTCTTGACATATTCTATCATCTCTACTACTTTTCTGGAAAACCCTAGCTTTAAATCCTCCGATCTTTTTAGATCTGTGATGGATCTATGTGTCTTTAAAGGTTCTCACCTGTTTTCCTCAAAAGATTTCTCTGATTTGAAACGATTTCCTCATTTTCCAGACTAGGGTTTCAAAACCCTTTTGCAAAAAACGATTCCTTTCTGATTTTTAGCAATTACTTTGTGATTTTTAACATGTTTAAACATCACTTGAGTCTTTCCTTTTGCTCGATTCATTTTCGTTAAGAAACCCTAATACTTCTGGACTCGATTTGAAGTTTGAGTCTGTTTGCGATGTGTTTGCATGTCTCTCATAAACATTCTAGGTTTCATGTATGTTCTATATGCTCTTGCGCTTCCTGCTCTAATCCGTTCTTGGGGTTTCTCTAATTTGTTTCAAACATGTTATTTATCGTTTAATAGGTCTGACTATTTGTTTTATTGATTGTTCACATGATAATTTATATTGATTTTTGTGTAATCTCCTTAGACCTGCGATATCCCCCCGAATCTGTGATTTTGTGTATTTTCCTTGTAATTCTGACTGATTTTTCGAATTGCTTCCTTACTTTTGTGATACTTTCCTTAGTTAGTGCTGATTCCCTGTGATTTTCAATCTCATTCGTGATTCTTTGAACTAACTTTCAGAATTAAAATTGTACTCTACCTTATTTATGTGCACAAATATGCTGTTAGTTATTTAACATGTACTTTCCTTACTTGAAAATATTCTGTACTTGGTCCTTATTACATGCCACATGCTTTTACTACTCCTACTGTGGTAAAGTCAGTCTTATAAGTAATTCTTTTCCCTATTTGATACAACTTGTACCCGTTTGAACTATGACTCCCTAATTGAAGGAAGTCCGGGTCTTTAATTGATTCTGATTTGTATTATTTCTATAATTGTGCTTAGTTAGTACCTATTACCTTATTTTCCTGCCTGTTCTAAAACTATAAATACTCTACCCTCTCTTTAGCATAGGGAACGAACAATTACACTATTCTAAACTCTCTCTTACACACATATACTCTCTTACTTGATACTCAGTTGGTTGCAAGCCAACACTTAGTGGTTACATTGTTCTACTGCTCTATTGTTCTACTACTCTACTGCTCTACACACTACTGCTCTACTTCCCTTCATTGTACTGCTCTTCACTCCTCACTCTGCACCTATTCTCTCATTCTTACTGGTATGTTTTCAGTTTAATTTACAACCTCCAAAACAATATGTCTCTATTTGTATTGCACTTCCTTTTGTTTCTCTTATGCTTCTACTTATGGTTCTGCTGCCTCCCTTGCAATTAGCATGCCTATTTTGCCATGTGATTACCCTGTAATTCAGCATGTCTACTGCTTTCTCACATTTTCTACTACTATTCCACCCTACCCCCCTAACCCCCCAATACATTATAAGCATGACACCTAGTTACTATGTGATCCTGAACCCTTTCCCCTAAACCTAATGTGTAACTCTGTTTAGCACCCCTTAAATCTGATGCTGCTAAGTTCATGGCATGAACACTTTGTGATAGACTATTACTGTGGCTATTTAAGTTCTGTAGTACTTCTCTGGTGTTAACCTGTGTGCAAATATGCTTTCGCGTATGAACTACTTGTCCCCAGTTCCTCCTTTCCCTGTTTGTGTTTGAACTATGTATGTTGATTTGGTCTTGAGTTGCTGATTGTCCTGTCTCTTTTCTTTTTCAAGCTGGTTTTCACTAAGGCAAACTCTTCTATTGCCTTCCAAAACTTATTTCAAACTAATCATTGTCAAAATTGTTTCCAACTCAACTCTTTTAAATCTATGTCAAGCACTCTCACATATACTCTTAGACCAATAGGTTCTGCTCCTTTTGTGTGAGCCTTGCCTCGGGACCCTTGAGTTCCCTCTGAACTTGGACACGTAAAAGCTGGCCTTTCCACACTGCACTTACTCTGTCTTGGTTATGCAATCTGGGTGTGAGCACTGCCCGGGATCCCTTGAGGTCCTTAGGGAACTCTGACACACCCAGATATGAGAAAGGCTATGGAACAATCTTGGCACTTGAGGTGGTTTATTACATAACTCAGGGAGGAAGTCCTAATCAGGTGCTGAAAGTCTAGGCCTGTTTCAGGCTCTCTATGGTGTAATTTTTACTTTTCTTATGTAATTCATTCACATGGTCTGTAATAATTTGTAAATGAATATTGGGGTAACTAGTGAAAAGGGCGGGTATTTACATGTTTGTGGCGTAAGGCGGGTAGAAACCATGCCTATAGGACTTTACATTTCACTATGTTTGGCCTTACCATGTTAGAAACCATGCCTATAGGGTTTTACTATACTTGTCTTACCATGTTAGAGATCATGTTTAGTAGGATTTTACTATACTTGCCTTACCATGTTAGAAATCATGTTTAATAGGTCTCAAAATCAGTTTCACAAATAGATGCCATACCTATAGGATATAATTTAATCCAGCTTCTGTTATAACACGTGTTACATGTTTTCTTTCATTGGTCATCATGCCTGCAAAGTTTCTGAAATCAGTGTTAAACAACTAGATGTCATGCCTATAAGGAATAACTCTAGAAATTCTGCTATAGATCTTAACTAGTTTAGTTAAATAAATCAACCCAGTCCATGTTTTAGTTCGTTCCGAAACTGGTTTAATTAATGATTTATTTTCTCTAAAACAAGTTCTTTTAAAAACTGCCTTGATTTGTCATTAGATATCATGCCTATAAGGATTCAAGAGTCCGCTTTAAAAAACCTGCCTTGTTTCACTATATAAAATATAGTCATCTGTATTCCGCGCCTAGGCAAGCCTTAGGCAATCAACTTTAAATAAAACCAGAACCGTCTTTATGATTAGTGTTTAACTGTCAACATGTTAAAATCAGTAGGCAAGCCTGATTCGGACTTCTTTTCTGAGTCATGTAATAAATCTGGTCCCACTGTTATCACTTAAATACCTTGTTAGGATCTGAATTTAGACCTTAATTGCGTATGGTGCTATTGCTCCTTTCTTTTTTTCTTTTTATTTATTTACTAGTATTTTACTTACATAGACTTTTTTGTTTACATTATAGAAAAAGAAGGAGAGGTTAGTTGCTTGCATTTATTCATGATTGAGTATTCTATTTTGATTTTGTATTTATTTAAAATTGTAGAAATATGACTTGTTTCTCTTCTT